CCACAATGAAGGAAATAAAGCCGAAGTAAAACTATTTTGTGCTGTTGGTATAAAATTGTTTAAAGAGTGCCAAGAAGAGGAGAAAACGCACGGAATAAACCCGGCTGTGATTCATACGTCAGGCTGCGAGCAGCTGCATCTAACAGCCTAGATGACCAGACCACCATCCAGGAGGTCTACTCAAGAGACAGGCCCTTGAGAACGTTGATCCTCGGAACTAAGACAAAGTAACCACAAGGTACAGAGAAAACGCCTCTCTCATTCCAATCGACATTTTCTCCTTTTTCTTTTACCTGAAGAAACCTGAAGAGGGTTTCTATTGTTGTTCTACTCCCCGAGGCCGGCCTGGGGTCAGGCTCGAAGGGTCAGGTTATCTTGAGTTATCTTGAGATGATTTCGGGGCTTTTTAGTGTCCCCGCGGCCCGGTCCTCGACCAGGCCTCCATCCCCAGGAAGCAGCCCGTGACAGCTGACTAACACCCAGGTACCTATTTTACTGCTAGGTAACAGGGGCATAGGGTGAAAGAAACTCTGCCCAATGTTTCTCGCCGGCGCCTGGTCATTCTACTTCCATGGGCACTTTTGTGCCTACAGTCTCTAGGCAATGATTTGGGCTCGCATTGTCTAGCTGTTCTTCCCAGCTTATTTCCGTGAGGTCTTGATTTATTACCTGGATCATACCTTGAGTGGGTTTTGAGAGTTCTTGTACCCCCTAAGCTCAACCCGGGCCCAGGCCTGACTTGTGATAACTTGGTCCAACAGGCTGTTCCACCCAGTGGTCTCGAGGCCCACACTACAACCCAGCTGGCCCGGTTCTTCTTGCAGGAACATGTGTAATTTACTTTTGAAGTCCACATGTATTCTGATAATATTTATCACGCATACCAGAGAGGGTATTGAATAGTAGTGGACCTCTACCGTTCATGCAGCTATTTTTTTTTTATTGTGCCTATGAATCCTCTTTCTTCATTGATTCTCACTTTGCATTTCTTACTATATTCAGTATACTGTTTCTTTACTGTTTAAATTTGGGACCTGGTCTTCCAATATCTTCCACACATACACACACACACACACACACACACACACACACACACACACACACACACACAAACACATTATTTGATACTTTTCTCGTCTCCTTTACAGAGAGTACATTTTGAGAGCTTTGAGACGGCCCCAATAATTGAGATGTTTTATCATGTCTATGCGTGCCGTATATGTTCTCTGTATTCCCCACTAATTCAGCAATCTCTCCTGCTATGAAAGGAGAAGTGAGTACCGAGCGCCTGCCTACACTCACATGCGCGCGCACACATAGGCTGCAGAGATGGTCAGGGAAATGGCTACTGGAGTTTAACACCAGTAAATGTAAAGTTATGGAAATGGGATCAGGTGACAGGAGACCAAAGGGACAGTACACAATGAAGGGGAACAGCCTACCTGTAACGATTCGAGAAAGAGACCTGGGAGTGGATGTGACACCTAATCTAACTCCTGAGGCACATATAAATAGGATAACGACAGCAGCGTACTCTACACTGGCGAAAATTAGAACTTCATTCAGAAACCTAAATGAGGAAGCTTTTAGGGCGCTTTACACTGCCTACGTGAGACCCGTCTTAGAGTATGCCGCGCCATCATGGAGCCCCCACCTGAAGAAACACATAAAGAAACTGGAGAAGGTTCAGAGGTTTGCGACGAGGCTTGTCCCAGAGTTACGAGGGATGGGATATGAAGAGCGGCTGAAGGAACTGAACCTTACGACACTAGAGAAAAGAAGGGAGAGAGGAGATATGATAGGGACATATAAAATACTCAGGGGAATTGACAAAGTGGAAATAGATGAAATGTTCACACGTAATAATAACAGAACGAGGGGACATGGGTGGAAACTGGAAACTCAGATGAGTCACAGAGATGTTAGGAAGTTTTCTTTTAGCGTGAGAGTAGTAGAAAAATGGAATGCACTTGGGGAACAGGTTGTGGAAGCAAATACTATTCATACTTTTAAAACTAGGTATGATAGGGAAATGGGACAGGAGTCATTGCTGTAAACAACCGATAGCTAGAAAGGCGGGATCCAAGAGTCAATGCTCGATCCTGCAAGCACATATAGGTGAGTACATATAGGTGAGTACATACATTCACACGTACGCACACACACACACACACACATGCAAGCACAAATAGGTGCGTACAAATAGGTGAGTACATTCCTTGGATCACCCAACTTACGCCCGACATAATGTATTAAATACCTCCTAGCTCCTCCTATCCCTGCCTATCCCATCCACTACGGCACAAGAGGCAGATACATATCCACTGCCTGCCGACATTAGCATAAAAATCTGCATATTAACCCATTACGGGAGTTAATACCCTTAAATGCTGATATCAGAGTAAATTCCTTTCATATACTTAAAGCCTCAGCCAGTTGGGCATACGAACAGCTTACCAAGCAGGGAGAAACGGACCCTATGCCATGTGGCTGGAGAGCCGAGAACAGTGTGTAGCCATCGCCAGCCTCACCTCCCACACCGTCGCAGCTCCGTCAGGAAGAGACATTTGCTGTATGCAAAATTTCTCAAGCATTTGACAGGCAGACGAAGTAATTAGCACCCACTTGTCCTGCCCTGATGACTTGAAGTCATCACTGCCTTGATGACTTGAAGTCATCACTGCCCTGATGATTTGAGGTCATCACTGCCTTGATGATTTGAGGTCATCACTGCCCTGATGATTTGAGGTCATCACTGCCTTGATGATTTGAGGTCATCACTGCCCTGATGATTTGAGGTCATCACTGCCTTGATGATTTGAGGTCATCACTGCCTTGATGATTTGAGGTCATCACTGCCTTGATGACTTGAGCTCATCACTGCCCTGATGATGGCAGGTCATCACTGCCGGGATATTGATGTGGTCATCACGATATTACTGGAGCAGCGTGAGTCATACGTAAGACTGTAAGCTGCGGCATCTAACAGTCTGGTTGAACACAAGGCGACGTCAAGGGTAACCACAAGGTGACGTCAAGGGTAACCACAAGGTGACGTCAAGGGTAACCACAAGGTGACGTCAAGGGTAACCACAAGGCGACGTCAAGGGTAACCACAAGGTGACGTCAAGGGTAACCACAAGGTGACGTCAAGGGTAACCACAAGGTGACGTCAAGGGTAACCACAAGGTGGCGTCAAGGGTAACCCACAAGGTGACGTCAAGGGTAACCACAAGGTGACGTCAAGGGTAACCACAAGGTGACGTCAAGGGTAACCACAAGGTGACGTCAAGGGTAACCACAAGGTGACGTCAAGGGTAACCTCAAGGTGACGTCAAGGGTAACCACAAGGTGACGTCAAGGGTAACCACAAGGTGACGTCAAGGGTAACCACAAGGTGACGTCAAGGGTAACCACAAGGTGACGTCAAGGGTAACCACAAGGCGACGTCAAGGGTAACCACAAGGCAACGTCAAGGGTAACCACAAGGTGACGACAATGGTAACCACAAGGTGACGTCAAGGGTAACCACAAGGTGACGTCAAGGGTAACCACAAGGTGACGTCAAGGGTAACCCACAAGGTGACGTCAAGGGTAACCACAAGGCAACATCAAGGGTAACCACAAGGTGACGTCAAGGGTAACCACAAGGTGACGTCAAGGGTAACCACAAGGTGACGTCAAGGGTAACCACAAGGTGACGTCAAGGGTAACCACAAGGCAACGTCAAGGGTAACCACAAGGCGACGTCAAGGGTAACCACAAGGTGACGTCAAGGGTAACCACAAGGTGACGTCAAGGGTAACCACAAGGTGACGTCAAGGGTAACCACAAGGTGACGTCAAGGGTAACCCACAAGGTGACGTCAAGGGTAACCACAAGGTGACGTCAAGGGTAACCACAAGGTGACGTCAAGGGTAACCACAAGGTGACGTCAAGGGTAACCACAAGGTGACGTCAAGGGTAACCTCAAGGTGACGTCAAGGGTAACCACAAGGTGACGTCAAGGGTAACCACAAGGTGACGTCAAGGGTAACCACAAGGTGACGTCAAGGGTAACCACAAGGTGACGTCAAGGGTAACCACAAGGCAACGTCAAGGGTAACCACAAGGCAACGTCAAGGGTAACCACAAGGTGACGACAATGGTAACCACAAGGTGACGTCAAGGGTAACCACAAGGTGACGTCAAGGGTAACCACAAGGTGACGTCAAGGGTAACCCACAAGGTGACGTCAAGGGTAACCACAAGGCAACATCAAGGGTAACCACAAGGTGACGTCAAGGGTAACCACAAGGTGACGTCAAGGGTAACCACAAGGTGACGTCAAGGGTAACCACAAGGTGACGTCAAGGGTAACCACAAGGCAACGTCAAGGGTAACCACAAGGCAACGTCAAGGGTAACCACAAGGTGACGTCAAGGGTAACCACAAGGTGACGTCAAGGGTAACCACAAGGTGACGTCAAGGGTAACCACAAGGTGACGTCAAGGGTAACCACAAGGTGACGTCAAGGGTAACCACAAGGTGACGTCAAGGGTAACCCACAAGGTGACGTCAAGGGTAACCACAAGGCAACATCAAGGGTAACCACAAGGTGACGTCAAGGGTGACCACAAGGTGACGTCAAGGGTAACCACAAGGTGACGTCAAGGGTAACCACAAGGTGACGTCAAGGGTAACCACAAGGCAACGTCAAGGGTAACCACAAGGCAACGTCAAGGGTAACCACAAGGTGACGTCAAGGGTAACCACAAGGTGACGTCAAGGGTAACCACAAGGTGACGTCAAGGGTAACCACAAGGTGACGTCAAGGGTAACCACAAGGTGACGTCAAGGGTAACCACAAGGTGACGTCAAGGGTAACCACAAGGTGACGTCAAGGGTAACCACAAGGCAACGTCAAGGGTAACCTGAATGGCAACAACGTGTTAAGTAACCAACTAGCGAGAGATGTCAGTAACAACAGACACCCAACTGAGTCAAGTGATGCAATTATCTCAAGGTGAGACACGGACAGTTTCCTGAGTTTCCTTGAGGTGGTCCCTAGGACCCTTGAGGTGGTCCCTAGGACCCTTGAGTTGGTCCCTAGGACCCTTGAGGTGGTCCCTAGGGCCCTTGAGTTGGTCCCTAGGACCCTTGAGGTGGTCTCTAGGGCCCTTGAGTTGGTCCCTAGGACCCTTGAGGTGGTCCCTAGGGCCCTTGAGTTGGTCCCCTAGGACCACTGTCGCCGTGGTCTGGTCAACCGGTTGCTAAGACGCCCCAGCTCGCAGTCTCTCATTAATCACTAGCTCAAAATGGTATTTGGAACTCCCTCTCTCTAAGTATTTATCTCTAAGTATTTAGGAGGCTTTACAGTGTTAAATGCTCGACTTCTCCGTAAAAATGCAACCATTTTGCTTAACCAGAAACGAACGAACCCAAGCGGCCCACAGAGCTGCTTGGGTTCGAGTCCGATACATTGGAAACATCAATATTATAGTGCTTTAATTTGTACTATTGCGTCGCATTTTTAACAGATTGGTCGATTCCGTAAAATCAAATGCGACGTATCAGGTGAGAGCACAGGTTGTTACAGTAACACGATCTATCTATTAATAGTACCGTTGTCGGCTTAACGTAGGCTCCGTGGACAATGCTTTCCGGAACTATTATAAGGCAAGATAGGGCAGGGTTAAGCAAGATTGGGCAGGGTTAGGGTATTAAAAATATCAATTTAGGGTATTAAAAGTATCAACCCAAGACAGAACACGAAACAATGGGTATAAATTGGATAAGTTTAGATTTAGGAAAGACCTGGGTAAATACTGGTTTGGAAACAGGGCTGTTGGTTTTAGAACCAATTACCGCGTAATGTGGTGGGGTCCCTTGGTTGTTTCAAGCGTGGGCTGGACACACAGAACCCCATCAAGCAGGTATCAAGCAGGCTAGAGCACCCTTGGAACATATACACACTAGAGCACCCTTGGAACATATACACACTAGAGCACCCTTGGAACATATACACACTAGAGCACCCTTGGAACATATACACACTAGAGCACCCTTGGAACATATACACACTAGAGTACCCTTGGAACATATACACACTAGAGCACCCTAGGAACACAGGGACAGAAGTGAGAGCAGCAAACACGTACACAGCAGTTTGATAGATAAATGAACACTTTAACAATAGATAAATGAGCAGATTTGCTTCCCTGTGGACTAATTGGCTTCGTGCTATTTTTTTTTACTTTTGTGAGATCATCAAGTCATCAAGCCGTACCTTAACATCATCAAGTCATCAAGCCGTACCTTAACATCATCAAGTCATCAAGCCGTACCTTAACATCATCAAGTCATCAAGCCGTACCTTAACATCATCAAGTCATCAAGCCGTACCTTAACATCATCAAGTCATCAAGCCGTACCTTAACATCATCAAGTCATCAAGCCGTACCTTAACATCATCAAGTCATCAAGCCGTACCTTAACATCATCAAGTCATCAAGCCGTACCTGGCAGTTGCCACCAAAACTTGCTCTCACAGTTCTTTAAACCATCTGAGAGGTGACTCACTAGTGAGTATAACTATAATATACCCGGAGTATACCTTGAGTGGGGTATGCGAGTAGGAATATGCACAATAGACCCAGTTCAGAGTAGAGATGCCATATGCACAATCAGGGGCACGATGTGAACCTGTCAGAGGTCAACGGCTATTCAGTACCCTCCCGAATTAACAACATTAATTAACATTAATTAAAAGTGAATTAACAAACGTACATGTTGTTGTTGTTATAGATTCAGCTACTCGGAACAAGTTCCAAGTAGCACGGGCTATGGTGAGCCCGTAACTCCGTACACTTGAAGTATTGGAAATATAGTGGTGGTGGTGAGGGTAGTGAGAGAGGTGAGAGTGGTGAGGACGGTGAGGATAGTGAGGACGGTGAGGATAGTGAGGACGGTGAGGATAGTGAGGACGGTGAGGATAGTGAGGACGGTGAGGATAGTGAGGACGGTGAGGATAGTGAGGACGGTGAGGATAGTGAGGGGGATGAGGGAGAGCTCCCCCACCATCCCCAGTGATCTATCCACTGCCAGGGACGGCCAGCATGAATTATAGCCGCCCCTGTGTCGCCTGTCCAGAAATCACGAGGTAAATTATCGTTGTGATGCTGCTGTTCCTGCACGGGCGGGGGACTCCCTGCACGGGAGGGGGGCAACCTGCACGGGAGGGGACTCCCTGCACGGGAGGGGGGCTACCTGCACGGGCGGGGGACTCCCTGCACGGGAGGGAGCTACCTGCACGGGAGGGGGGCTACCTGCACGGGAGGGGACTCCCTGCACGGGAGGGGGGCTACCTGCACGGGCGGGGGACTCCCTGCACGGGAGGGGGGGCTACCTGCACGGGCGGGGGACTCCCTGCACGGGAGGGGGGCTACCTGCACGGGAGGGGGGCTACCTGCACGGGAGGGGGGCTACCTGCACGGGAGGGGACTACCTGCACGGGAGGGGGGCTACCTGCACGGGAGGGGGGCTACCTGCACGGGAGGGGACTACCTGCACGGGAGGGGGGCTACCTGCACGGGAGGGGGGCTACCTGCACGGGAGGGGGGCTACCTGCACGGGAGGGGACTACCTGCACGGGAGGGGACTACCTGCACGGGAGGGGGGCTACCTGCACGGGAGGGGACTCCCTGCACGGGAGGGGGGCTACCTGCACGGGAGGGGGGCTACCTGCACGGGAGGGGGGCTACCTGCACGGGAGGGGGGCTAACTGCACGGGAGGGGGCTACCTGCACGGGAGGGGGGCTACCTGCACGGGAGGGGGGCTAACTGCACGGGAGGGGGCTACCTGCACGGGAGGGGGCTAACTGCACGGGAGGGGGGCTACCTGCACGGGAGGGGGGCTAACTGCACGGGAGGGGGGCTACCTGCACGGGAGGGGGGCTACCTGCACGGGAGGGGGCTACCTGCACGGGAGGGGGGCTACCTGCACGGGAGGGGGGCTACCTGCACGGGAGGGGGCTACCTGCACGGGAGGGGGGCTACCTGCACGGGAGGGGGGCTACCTGCACGGGAGGGGGGCTACCTGCACGGGAGGGGGGCTACCTGCACGGGAGGGGGGCTAACTGCACGGGAGGGGGGCTAACTGCACGGGAGGGGGGCTACCTGCACGGGAGGGGGGCTACTGCACGGGAGGGGGGCTACCTGCACGGGAGGGGGGCTAACTGCACGGGAGGGGGGCTACCTGCACGGGAGGGGGGCTACCTGCACGGGAGGGGGCTAACTGCACGGGAGGGGGCTACCTGCACGGGAGGGGGGCTACCTGCACGGGAGGGGGGCTACCTGCACGGGAGGGGGCTACCTGCACGGGAGGGGGGCTACCTGCACGGGAGGGGGGCTACCTGCACGGGAGGGGGGCTACCTGCACGGGAGGGGGGCTACCTGCACGGGAGGGGGGCTACCTGCACGGGAGGGGGCTACCTGCACGGGAGGGGGCTACCTGCACGGGAGGGGGGCTACCTGCACGGGAGGGGGCTACCTGCACGGGAGGGGGGCTACCTGCACGGGAGGGGGGCTACCTGCACGGGAGGGGGCTACCTGCACGGGAGGGGGCTACCTGCACGGGAGGGGGGCTACCTGCACGGGAGGGGGGCTACCTGCACGGGAGGGGGGCTACCTGCACGGGAGGGGGCTAACTGCACGGGAGGGGGGCTACCTGCACGGGAGGGGGGCTAACTGCACGGGAGGGGGGCTACCTGCACGGGAGGGGGGCTACCTGCACGGGAGGGGGGCTACCTGCACGGGAGGGGGGCTACCTGCACGGGAGGGGGGCTAACTGCACGGGAGGGGGGGCTACCTGCACGGGAGGGGGCTAACTGCACGGGAGGGGGCTACCTGCACGGGAGGGGGGCTAACTGCACGGGAGGGGGCTACCTGCACGGGAGGGGGGCTAACTGCACGGGAGGGGGCTACCTGCACGGGAGGAGGGCTACCTGCACGGGAGGGGGGCTACCTGCACGGGAGGGGACTCCCTGCACGGGAGGGGACTCCCTGCACGGGACGGGGCTACCTGCACGGGAGGGGACTACCTGCACGGGAGGGGACTCCCTGCACGGGAGGGGACTACCTGCACGGGAGGGGACTCCCTGCACGGGAGGGGACTACCTGCACGGGAGGGGACTCCCTGCACGGGAGGGGACTACCTGCACGGGAGGGGACTCCCTGCACGGGAGGGGACTACCTGCACGGGAGGGGACTCCCTGCACGGGAGGGGACTACCTGCACGGGAGGGGACTCCCTGCACGGGAGGGGACTACCTGCACGGGAGGGGACTCCCTGTACGGGAGGGGACTACCTGCACGGGAGGGGACTCCCTGCACAGGAGGGGACTCCCTGCACGGGAGGGGACTACCTGCACGGGAGGGGACTCCCTGCACGGGAGGGGACTACCTGCACGGGAGGGGACTCCCTGCACGGGAGGGGACTCTGCACGGGAGGGGACTACCTGCACGGGAGGGGACTACCTGCACGGGAGGGGACTCCCTGCACGGGAGGGGACTACCTGCACGGGAGGGGACTCCCTGCACGGGAGGGGACTACCTGCACGGGAGGGGACTCCCTGCACGGGAGGGGACTCCCTGCACGGGAGGGGACTCCCTGCACGGGAGGGGACTACCTGCACGGGAGGGGACTCCCTGCACGGGAGGGGACTCCCTGCACGGGAGGGGACTCCCTGCACGGGAGGGGACTCCCTGCACGGGAGGGGACTCCGTGCACGGGAGGGGACTACCTGCACGGGAGGGGACTCCCTGCACGGGAGGGGACTCCCTGCACGGGAGGGGACTACCTGCACGGGAGGGGACTCCCTGCACGGGAGGGGACTCCCTGCACGGGAGGGGACTCCGTGCACGGGAGGGGACTACCTGCACGGGAGGGGACTCCGTGCACGGGAGGGGACTACCTGCACGGGAGGGGACTCCCTGCACGGGAGGGGACTCCCTGCACGGGAGGGGACTACCTGCACGGGAGGGGACTCCCTGCACGGGAGGGGACAACCTTCACGAGAGGGAACTTACCTTCATTCTTCTTTCTTCTCTACCTCTATCCCTGTCTGTCTGCATGTATCCAGCAACACCTCTGGCTCGTTACCTGTATCTCCCACTCTCAAGAAGCACCGAAACATATGACTGGGTCTCAGACGCTTTGCTTTCTCTTCTCCTCTTGCTTTTTATGCTTTTATCTTTTCAGTAAAAACTGCACGTGTGTCTATCTACCTCTCCCTCCTCCATCGTCCCTTCCCTTGCCCCCCCCCTCTCCCTCCCTCAAGAAACACTGAGACAAGGCATTCGTCTAAAGTGTTAAAATCAGGCCTTCCCAGACCAGCCTATGTAAGTCCCATACCCCAGACCAGCCTATGTTCGTCCCATACCCCAGACCAGCCTATGTTCGTCCCGTACCCCAGACCAGCCTATGTTCGTCCCATACCCCAGACCAGCCTATGTTCGTCCCGTACCCCGGACCAGCCTATGTTCGTCCCATACCCCAGACCAGCCTATGTTCGTCCCATACCCCAGACCAGCCTATGTCCGTCCCGTACCCTAGACCATTTCCCTACAAATTTAGATATAGCTAGCCCCAAGCGTCTGGTCTCCAAATGTGGAAAGAGAGGGACTCTCTCTTACCGTATAGACAATACATGAGCTTTACTCCTTAGTGTAAGTGTACCAAAACAGGTGACCAAACACGGCCCCAGTAATTACCCTCCGCACTGCACCTGAGCACGCTAGGAAATAATTAACTTCTGGCGTAGACACGCGCATCACCCTCTATGGTGAAGCCTGCACGCCTCATACCTGCCTCACCTGGACGCTGCCTGCCTCACCTGGAGCACACCTCGACGCTACTTGCCTCACCTGGAGCACACCTGGACGCTACCTGCCTCACCTGGACGCTGCCTGCCTCACCTGGAGCACACCTCGACGCTACCTGCCTCACCTGGAGCACACCTGGACGCTACCTGCCTCACCTGGACGCTGCCTGCCTCACCTGGACGCTACCTGCCTCACCTGGAGCACACCTGGACACTGCCTGCCTCACTTGGAGCACACCTGGGTGCTACCTGCCTCACCTGGAGCACACCTGGACGCTACCTGCCTCACCTGGACGCTGCCTGCCTCACCTGGAGCACACCTGGACACTACCTGCCTCACCTGGAGCACACCTGGACATTGCCTGCCTCACCTGGAGCACACCTGGACGCTACCTGCCTCACCTGGACGCTACCTGCCTCACCTGGAGCACATCTGGACGCTGCCTGCCTCACCTGGACGCTGCCTGCCTCACCTGGACGCTACCTGCCTCACCTGGACGCTGCCTGCCTCACCTGGACGCTGCCTGCCTCACCTGGAGCACACCTGGACACTGCCTGCCTCACCTGGAGCACACCTGGACGCTACCTGCCTCACCTGGACGCTGCCTGCCTCACCTGGAGCACACCTGGACGCTGCCTGCCTCACCTGGACGCTACCTGCCTCACCTGGAGCACACCTGGACACTGCCTGCCTCACCTGGAGCACACCTGGACGCTACCTGCCTCACTTGGAGCACACCTGGACGCTACCTGCCTCACCTGGAGCACACCTGGACGCTACCTGCCTCACCTGGACGCTGCCTGCATCACCTGGAGCACACCTGGGTGCTACCTGCCTCACCTGGAGCACACCTGGACACTGCCTGCCTCACCTGGAGCACACCTGGACGCTACCTGCCTCACCTGGAGCACACCTGGACACTGCCTGCCTCACCTGGAGCACACCTGGACGCTACCTGCCTCACCTGGAGCACACCTGGACACTGCCTGCCTCACCTGGAGCACACCTGGACGCTACCTGCCTCACCTGGAGCACACCTGGACACTGCCTGCCTCACTTGGAGCACACCTGGACGCTACCTGCCTCACCTGGAGCACACCTGGACGCTACCTGCCTCACCTGGAGCACACCTGGACACTGCCTGCCTCACTTGGAGCACACCTGGACGCTACCTGCCTCACCTGGAGCACACCTGGACGCTACCTGCCTCACCTGGAGCACACCTGGACGCTACCTGCCTCACCTGGAGCACACCTGGACGCTACCTGCCTCACCTGGAGCACACCTGGACGCTACCTGCCTCACCTGGAGCACACCTGGGCCTACTCCAGAAATTTCTGTACTGCACACAGAAATAACACCACATGAGACCAGAAGGCATGGCAGGATGTGCAGAATACCCCCGTTGAAGAGCAGAGGTGCAACAGGTACTCTTGAGAGAGAACTCTATCAACATCAGAGGCCCGAGACTGTTCAACACGCTTCCACTACACATAAGGGACATAACTGGTCGACCCCTCACAGTGTTCAAGAGAGAACTGGATAAGTACCTGCAAAGGATACCTGATCAACCAGGCTGTGACTCATACGTCTGGCTGCGAGCAGCCGCGTCCAACATGATGTCCAGTGAGTGAACCAGTGAAGAGCAGGGGTGCCATAGGCACAATCAGAGAACACTGTATAAACATCAGAGGTCCGCGGTTGTTCAACGTCCTCCCAGCGAGCATAAGAAATATTGCCGGAACAACTGTGGACATCTTCAAGAGAAAACTAGATTTATTCCTCCAAGGAGTGCCGGACCAACCGGGCTGTGGTGGGTATGTGGGCCTGCGGGCCGCTTCAAGCAACAGCCTAGTGGAAAAAACTCTGAAGTCAAGACCTGCATGAAACGACGGCCTGGCTTCATGCAGGTCGGCGTTCAATCCCCGACCGTCCATGTGGCTGGGCACCATTCCTTCACCCCATCCCATTCCAAATCCTTATCCTGACCCCTTCCCAGTGCTATATAGTCGTAACGGTTTGGCACTTCCCCCCCTGATTATTCCCTCCCCCCCCCGCCTCTCACCTGCCCCGCGACACACACCTTGAACTAACAGCCTCGTCGCTCCCAGCAACTCCTCATACGTCACATTATTAACGGAATCGACCAATCCGTTAACAAAAGGTCCCGAGTTTTGAGTAAGCATGATTAAAGCACCGTGATATTGACGTTTAATATGCACCGGCCTTGATAGGTTGGGTGGGTTGCTTGGGTTCGTACGTTTCAGGTTAGGCAAAACCTACTGCATTTTTACGGAGTGGTAAATGGAGAGAACTGGGGGGGGGAAGGGGGGTATCATCACGTGCTGCCAGTTCTCTGATGACGTTCTCATCAAAGTTTGAGCATCAAAGTACTCCCATTCATATTCATACACAAGTGTATGATTTATTTTTTTCATGTGAAATATACTCAATCCAACGCCAAATTGAAAAAAAATAAAAACTGAACCGTTATTTAAATACACACACAGCCGCGTGTGCATGGGGTGTGTACTCACCGTTTTGTACTCAACGATTTGTGCTTGCGCTGAGCTTTGGCTCTTTGGTCCCGCCTCTCAACTGTCAATCAACTGATGTACAGGTTCCTGAGCTTATTGGGCTCTATCATATCTACATTTGAAACTGTGTATGGAGTCAGCCTCCACCACATCACTGCCTAATGCATTCCACCTGTTAACTACTCTGACACTTAAAAAGATCTTTCTAACGTCCCTGTTCCTCATTTGGTTACTCATTTTCCACCTGTGTCCCCTTGTTGACGTACTACCAGTGTTAAACAGTTTATCCTTATCTACCCTGTCAATTCTCCTGAGGATTTTGTAGGTAGTGATCATGTCTCCCCTCACTCTTCCTTCTTCCAGTGTCGTGAGGTGCATTTCCCGCAGTCTTTCCTCGTAACTCATGCCTCTTATTTCTGGGATTAGTCTAGTGGCATACCTCTGAACTTTTTCCAGCTTCGTCTTGTGCTTGACAAGGTACGGGCTCCATGCTGGGGCCACATACTCCAGGATTGGCCTTACATGCGTGGTATGCAAGGCTCTGAAAGATTCCTTACACAAGTTTCTGAAGGCAGTTATGCTGTTAGCCAGCCTTGCATACGCCGCCGATGTTATTTTTTGCGTGTGTGCACGTGTGCGCGTCTGTGCGTGCTGTGTAATTAATATTTGTATTTACTATTTGTAGCTGCAGAATCGAGCTAATAGCTCTTGGACCCCGCCTAACAATTTAATTTTCCTCTATTATGTCTACTACATATATTTATCTAACACATACACACACACACACACACACCTAGGAAGCAGCTCGTAACAGCTGTCTAACTCTCAGGTACCTATTTACTGTTAGGCAAACAGGTGCATCAAAGTGAAAGAAACTCTGCTCATTTGTTTCGGCTTCTGAGGGGGATCGAACCCGGGCTCTTAGGACTACGAATCCAGAGCGCTGTCCACTCAGCTGTTATGCCCCATATGTGTGTGCGTATGTGCGTGTGTCATCTTTTAATACACATGTACCCACCTTAGTCAAATATACTTTCTACGGAACAAATATGTCGCATCAAATGCCACAAAAATAACCACAGATAAAATTAAAAAATGATAAAAAACCACTGTTATTCCCCTTTCCCGCCCCTTCCCTTACGCTTCCCATGTCCCATCCTTCCCTCGTCCTGTAGTTCTCCCTCCTTACCATCCTTCCCGCTTCCACCATCCTCCAACTCTTCAAACTTACCTTTCCAGTTATCTTACCTGAAGAAGGTTCTGAAAGTTCTTCTACTCCTCGAGCCCGGCCTGACGCCAGACTCGACTTGTGAGAGCTTGGTCCAACAGGCTGATGCTTGGAGTGGCCCGCAGGCCCACATGTCCACCACAGCCTAGTTGATCCGGCACTTCTACCAAGAACTTATCTAAATGCCTCTTGAATACATCCACGGTTGTTCCGGCAATATTTCTAATGCTTGCTGGGAGTGTGCTAAACAGCTGTGGACCTCTGATGTTCAGACAGTGTTCTCTGATTGTGCCTATGGCACCTTTTACTCCTCACTGATTCTATTCTGCATTTCCTTCCGTATCTTTCGCTCCAGTATGTTGTTATTCTACTGTGCAAGTTTGGGATCTGGCCCTCCAGTATCTTCCATGTGTATATTATTGATACATTTCTCGTCTCCTTTCCAGAGAGTGCATCTTGAGAGCTCTTCCACTGTACATCTCCTCTCCCACTGTTCTCTTCCTTCCCCTGTCCTGCCCCCCCCTCCCCCCCGGCAGCTGTGTCGATGTGATTCACTCCTCCAGAAAGTAATTCATCTCCAAAGTTCATCAATAGCAAAAGTTTAGGCATCAAGTTTTCTATTGTTGCAAGTCGCGGAGTGGTCCTTGTGCCTCTTCTATCTTCCCTTCACCAGGCGCCGGGGGGATGCTTCTATGCTTACCATGGCCCTATTTGATCGCCCCTATGCTTACCATGGCCCTATTTGCTCGCCCCTATGCTTACCATGGCCCTATTTGATCGCCCCTATGCTTACCATGGCCCTATTTGCTCGCCCCTATGCTTACCATGGCCCTATTTGCTCGCCCCTATGCTTACCATGGCCCTATTTGCTCGCCCCTATGCTTACCATGGCCCTATTTGCTCGCCCCTATGCTTACCATGTAGCTCTTTTCTTGCCGCTATACTTTTTATGGCCCTCCATGCTTGCCTCTATGCTTGCCTCCATGCTTGCCTCTATGCTTGCCTCTATGCTTGCCTCTATGCTTGCCTCCATGCTTGCCTCTATGCTTGCCTCCATGCTTGCCTCTATGCTTGCCTCTATGCTTGCCTCCATGCTTGCCTCTATGCTTGCCTCTATGCTTGCCTCTATGCTTGCCTCCATGCTTGCCTCTATGCTTGCCTCCATGCTTGCCTCCATGCTTGCCTCTATGCTTGCCTCCATGCTTGCCTCTATGCTTGCCTCTATGCTTGCCTCTATGCTTGCCTCTATGCTTGCCTCTATGCTTGCCTCTATGCTTGCCTCCATGCTTGCCTCTATGCTTGCCTCCATGCTTGCTTCTATGCTTGCCTCCATGCTTGCCTCCATGCTTGCCTCCATGCTTGCCTCTATGCTTGCCTCTATGCTTGCCTCTATGCTTGCCTCCATGCTTGCTTCTATGCTTGCCTCTATGCTTGCCTCCATGCTTGCCTCTATGCTTGCCTCCATACTTGTCTCTATGCTTGCCTCCATGCTTGCCTCTATGCTTGCCTCCATGCTTGCTTCTATGCTTGCCTCTATGCTTGCCTCTATGCTTGCCTCTATGCTTGCCTCTATGCTTGCCTCTATGCTTGCCTCTATGCTTGCCTCTATGCTTGCCTCTATGCTTGCCTCTATGCTTGCCTCTGCTTGCCTCCATGCTTGCCTCCATGCTTGCCTCCATGCTTGCCTCTATGCTTGCCTCTATGCTTGCCTCTATGCTTGCCTCCATGCTTGCTTCTATGCTTGCCTCTATGCTTGCCTCCATGCTTGCCTCTATGCTTGCCTCCATACTTGTCTCTATGCTTGCCTCCATGCTTGCCTCTATGCTTGCCTCCATGCTTGCTTCTATGCTTGCCTCTATGCTTGCCTCCATGCTTGCCTCTATGCTTGCCTCCATGCTTGCCTCTATGCTTGCCTCCATACTTGTCTCTATGCTTGCCTCCATACTTGTCTCTATGCTTGCCTCTATGCTTGCCTCCATACTTGTCTCTATGCTTGCCTCCATACTTGTCTCTATGCTTGCCTCCATACTTGCCTCTATGCTTGCCTCCATACTTGTCTCTATGCTTGCCTCCATACTTGCCTCTATGCTTGCCTCCATGCTTGCCTCCATACTTGTCTCTATGCTTGCCTCCATACTTGTCTCTATGCTTGCCTCCATACTTGTCTCTATGCTTGCCTCTATGCTTGCCTCCATACTTGTCTCTATGCTTGCCTCCATACTTGTCTCTATGCTTGCCTCCATACTTGTCTCTATGCTTGCCTCCATACTTGCCTCTATGCTTGCCTCCATGCTTGCCTCCATACTTGTCTCTATGCTTGCCTCCATACTTGTCTCTATGCTTGCCTCCATACTTGTCTCTATGCTTGCCTCTATGCTTGCCTCCATACTTGTCTCTATGCTTGCCTCCATACTTGTCTCTATGCTTGCCTCCATACTTGTCTCTATGCTTGCCTCCATACTTGTCTCTATGCTTGCCTCCATGCTTGCCTCTATGCTTGCCTCTATGCTTGCCTCCATACTTGTCTCTATGCTTGCCTCCATACTTGCCTCTATGCTTGCCTCCATACTTGTCTCTATGCTTGCCTCCATACTTGTCTCTATGCTTGCCTCTATGCTTGCCTCTATGCTTGCCTCCATACTTGTCTCTATGCTTGCCTCCATACTTGCCTCTATGCTTGCCTCCATACTTGTCTCTATGCTTGCCTCCATACTTGTCTCTATGCTTGCCTCCATACTTGCCTCTATGCTTGCCTCCATACTTGCCTCTATGCTTGCCTCCATACTTGTCTCTATGCTTGCCTCCATACTTGTCTCTATGCTTGCCTCCATACTTGTCTCTATGCTTGTCTCTATGCTTGCCTCTATGCTTGCCTCCATACTTGTCTCTATGCTTGCCTCCATACTTGCCTCTATGCTTGCCTCCATACTTGTCTCTATGCTTGCCTCCATACTTGCCTCTATGCTTGCCTCCATACTTGTCTCTATGCTTGCCTCCATACTTGTCTCTATGCTTGCCTCCATACTTGTCTCTATGCTTGCCTCCATACTTGTCTCTATGCTTGTCTCTATACTTGTCTCTATGCTTGCCTCCATACTTGCCTCTATGCTTGCCTCCATACTTGTCTCTATGCTTGCCTCTATACTTGCCTCTATGCTTGCCTCCATACTTGTCTCTATGCTTGTCTCTATGCTTGTCTCTATGCTTGCCTCCATACTTGTCTCTATGCTTGCCTCCATACTTGTCTCTATGCTTGCCTCCATACTTGTCTCTATGCTTGCCTCCATACTTGTCTCTATGCTTGCCTCAATGCTTGTCTCTATGCTTGCCTCCATACTTGTCTCTATGCTTGCCTCCATACTTGTCTCTATGCTTGCCTCCATACTTGTCTCTATGCTTGTCTCTATGCTTGTCTCTATGCTTGCCTCCATACTTGTCTCTATGCTTGCCTCCATACTTGTCTCTATGCTTGTCTCTATGCTTGTCTCTATGCTTGCCTCCATACTTGTCTCTATGCTTGCCTCCATACTTGTCTCTATGCTTGCCTCCATACTTGTCTCTATGCTTGCCTCCATACTTGTCTCTATGCTTGCCTCTATGCTTGTCTCTATGCTTGCCTCCATACTTGTCTCTATGCTTGCCTCTATGCTTGTCTCTATGCTTGCCTCCATACTTGTCTCTATGCTTGCCTCTATGCTTGTCTCTATGCTTGTCTCTATGCTTGTCTCTATGCTTGCCTCTATGCTTGCCTCCATACTTGTCTCTATGCTTGCCTCCATACTTGTCTCTATGCTTGTCTCTATGCTTGTCTCTATGCTTGTCTCTATGCTTGCCTCCATACTTGTCTCTATGCTTGCCTCTATGCTTGTCTCTATGCTTGCCTCTATGCTTGCCTCCATACTTGTCTCTATGCTTGCCTCTATGCTTGCCTCTATGCTTGCCTCTATGCTTGCTTCTATGCTTGCCTCTATGCTTGCCTCCATGCTTGTCTCTATGCTTGCCTCCATACTTGTCTCTATGCTTGCCTCCATACTTGTCTCTATGCTTGCCTCCATACTTGTCTCTATGCTTGCCTCCATACTTGTCTCTATGCTTGCCTCCATGCTTGCTTCTATGCTTGCCTCTATGCTTGCCTCCATGCTTGCCTCTATGCTTGCCTCCATACTTGTCTCTATGCTTGCCTCCATGCTTGCCTCCATACTTGCCTCTATGCTTGCCTCCATACTTGTCTCTATGCTTGCCTCCATGCTTGCCTCCATGCTTGCCCACGTGTACAGGTTGTAACTAAGGGCCTCAAGGCCGCTACACTTCCACATGCATGACACTGAATTAGTTCACATTCTTCATAATTTCAGGTTTATGTCGTCGTGGAAATATGTTTATGGTTATAATGACTCCTCTCCTTCCCTCGGCTGGTAGTGGTGATGCTCGTGTCTTGTTCACACTCCTGTCCCCTGTCCTCTCATCTCTCCCTGTCCCATGGTGTCTACCATGCTCTCTCTCTCTCTCTCTCTCTCTCTCTCTCTCTCTCTCTCTCTCTCTCTCTCTCTCTCTCTCTCTCTCTCTCTCTCTCTCTCTCTCTCTCTCTCTCTCACTGTCTCATGGTCTCTACCATGCTCTCTTTCTCATCTCTCCCTGTCCCACGGTCTCTACCATGCTCTCTTTCTCATCTCTCACTGTCCCACGGTCTCTACCATGCTCTCTTTCTCATCTCTCACTGTCCCACGGTCTCTACCATGCTCTCTTTCTCATCTCTCCCTGTCCCACGGTCTCTACCATGCTCTCTTTCTCATCTCTCACTGTACCATGGTCTCTACCATGCTCTCTTTCTCATCTCTCACTGTCCCACGGTCTCTACCATGCTCTCTTTCTCATCTCTCACTGTCCCATGGTCTCTTCCATGCTCTCTTTCTCATCTCTCCCTGTCCCACGGTCTCTACCATGCTCTCTTTCTCATCTCTCACTGTCCCACGGTCTCTACCATGCTCTCTTTCTCATCTCTCCCTGTCCCACGGTCTCTACCATGCTCTCTTTCTCATCTCTCACTGTCCCATGGTCTCTACCATGCTCTCTTTCTCATCTCTCCCTGTCCCACGGTCTCTACCATGCTCTCTTTCTCATCTCTCCCTGTCCCACGGTCTCTACCATGCTCTCTTTCTCATCTCTCACTGTCCCATGGTCTCTACCATGCTCTCTTTCTCATCTCTCACTGTCCCACGGTCTCTACCATGCTCTCTTTCTCATCTCTCACTGTCCCATGGTCTCTTCCATGCTCTCTTTCTCATCTCTCACTGTCCCATGGTCTCTACCATGCTCTCTTTCTCATCTCTCACTGTCCCACGGTCTCTACCATGCTCTCTTTCTCATCTCTCACTGTCCCATGGTCTCTTCCATGCTCTCTTTCTCATCTCTCACTGTCCCACGGTCTCTACCATGCTCTCTTTCTCATCTCTCACTGTCCCATGGTCTCTACCATGCTCTCTTTCTCATCTCTCACTGTCCCACGGTCTCTACCATGCTCTCTCATCTCTCACTGTCCCATGGTCTCTTCCATGCTCTCTTTCTCATCTCTCACTGTCCCATGGTCTCTTCCATGCTCTCTTTCTCATCTCTCCCTGTCCCACGGTCTCTACCATGCTCTCTTTCTCATCTCTCACTGTCCCACGGTCTCTACCAAGCCTTCTCATCAGACACCGGAGCAGAGTGCGGTCCCTGGCAAAGGGAAACATACAAAACAAGGACCCAAAATCTGTTGGTATTACAAATGGGTTACCTGTAAACATGGGATTTCGGGAAGAACAAATGGAACATGTAAGATCACCCTAGAAAGTGCAGAAACCTTCTCAGTACAGGCAAATGTACCAAAAGCTGTGAATACCTTTCACTCAGAAATTTGCAAGAACTCTTTAGACAGGAAAGAATGCTTCAATACACAATGTCCAGCTTTTCATATAAGAGGTACCAGGCGAATAAAATCACCACTATGAAAACAGCCACAATTCAATCGACCAGGATGATTTTTTAGCAAGAGGAGGAGGAGAAGAATGGCTAAAAATGACCAGACTCTACCACCATCTCGGTCAAATGCTAGAGAGGACGCAAACACAGTGGCCACCTTACCAGAGCCTCAGATATTAACACCAAGTAAAGCATCCAGCACTTCCACTAACACGATAACATCATTTTTATTTGCCAACATTCAGGGTATAAAAACACGCAAATGTAACAAAGTTCATTTTATAGATGGCCTCCTACACGAGGCAAATGCAGTGTTTGCAGCCCTAACGGAAACCCACTCCAAGGACTACCATGATGGTGAAATATGGATCTCAGAGTACAATCTCTTCAGATATGACAGGAAACACCGGCTTCAGGTTGGGGTCAGCCTCTACATCAAAGACACACTCATCTGTACTGAGCTGCTAAACACCACAAATGATATGGTGGAAGTGCTGATAATCAAAATAGAGATTCTAAATGTAGTTATTGTCCTTGTATACAAGTCACCGAAGGCAAACCCTCAGCAGTTTAAAGATCAACTAATAAAAATAGAACACTACTTGGAAAACCTCACAAATCCAGCCGCGAGCATCATACTGCTTGGGGACTTCAACCTACGGCACCTGAAATGGAAGTACCTAGATAATACAGTAATATCAGAAAGTATACCAGGAAGTAGCCTAAATGAACATCCCCTTCCTACCCAAAGAGTGCCAATTTCACTTCCCATCATGCTGCTAAAACCTGGCATCAATCCCTCGACAGTTTCAATTTGGAGAAAAAAAAGTTGTAAACCACATTTTCTTAGCGCATGAGTAGGGTGGTATTTATTTTTTGTTATTGTGTCTCGTGCCAAGGAGACGTTCTCCCTCGGCCCTGTCGTTACTGGTGCCTTAAGTAAAAAGGTTGACTGTGTATAACCTGAAGCAACCCTAAACTTTCAACCACGCTGGCCTGGCCCTGGCCATCAAGGGCGTCTTGTGGCCAGCTTACACCCTGGTAACAGCCTCAAATGCCAGTTTTCCTCCTTTCCTGCCATCCTCGCCTAGTTTACTGCGCTCCCTCCTCCTCCCCCTCCTCCAGCCTTCATTAACCCTTCAGTAAAACGGGCAACACGTTTCTCTACAACGCTGTATGGAAAAAAAATAATATTGTCTACAGTCATTCTAGTCTTCTGTTCAAGCAACGGACAACATCGTCAAGCGATGTACGCTGATTTGTTTCTTTTCTTTGATTCGTTTAGTTGTAGCAACAAAACGAATTGTAGCGCACCGCTAACGTCAACGTTGATTCAAACAAGACCTTCTTATTTGGTGGCCCCTGGCGCGGCCCAGCTCCCTGTCTTACTGTTTTCCATCACTCACCGACTGACCACAGGAGCCTGAGCGACACACGTCTGCTGTGGACCATCATAACAGCTGTGCCCGGACTATCAAGCAGGTCTCTGAGCACGTCTCTCGGTTTTTGGTCTGGTCAACTAGGCTGTTAGACGCCACTGTTGACAACCTGACGTATGAACCACAGTCCGGTCGGTCAATTACCTCATGGAGGTGTTTATTTAATTCCTGCGTTTATTAGAAATAAAACGTCACTTCTATATATCAAAAGTTATTACTTTTGATGCAAAATGAGAACGAATAAAATGCCATAATAAAAATCCACACGAGTTGAGACATGCCTCATTTGGTTCTCATCTTAATATTTCCCTGTCGTAGTATGTCATGTGCTTCATGTTCCAGAAATTACATAAATATTCTCTAGTTTTTAAATATTCAAACCAGCTCTGATTTTTTTCAGAAATACCTCTGAAGTTCAAAGCTCCAAATACCCCTTTTCATCATAGCTTCAAAGTTCATTTCAAAACAGCCCTGAAGTACTTTTCGATATCGCCTAAGTGCTTTCAGAAATAGTCTAAAAGGTGTTCGGAGAAGTCCATCAAGTTCTCCTCTGAACACCGTGAGAAGTCGTCCTGATATGCCCCCTTATGTTTAGATGGAGAGTGTTGAACAATCTTGGTCCTTCATGTTGATTGAACTTTCTTTCCGGAAAAGCTCTTCAGTTCTTTCCGAAATAAACAAATTCTTGTTTGATCACCTGCCTAACTTGACCGATACTCTTCAAGTGCCTGGTAAGTTGATCTCTCAAGAGAGAGAGAGAGAGAGAGAGAGAGAGAGAGAGAGAGAGAGAGAGAGAGAGAGAGAGAGAGAGAGAGAGAGAGAGAGAGAGAGAGAGAGAGAGAGAGAGAGAGAGAGAGCCTTTGGTAGCAATGAAGTATTCAGTAACAGAGAACTTTTATAAATACATTACATTTGTAGGACAGACCTTCAGAGGTTGCCTATTTACCCGGACTGTGAGTTCTACATCGGACTGCATGCACCAGCGTTCAGTCCGGTTGACTGGTCCACCAGCATACCTGGTCTGAGACCCGGCCAAGGTGACACTGATTCCCAAAACCTTGACATGGTAGGCACAAGGCAGGTATCGACCACTTGAGAGCCGGTGGTGGTAGTTCTGATCAACTGCTGCTGTGAGAAGGTTGCTTAATAATAGATCTCATCATTCATATAATTGAACAACATGAGTTTAAACGCACGCACGCACGCACGCACGCACGCACACACGCACGCACGCACACACACACACACACACACACACACACACACACACACACACACACCTGGGAGAGGGAAATCTTCAGGAGTCAGAGAAGGAAAAAGACTTGGGGGTTGATATCACGCCAGACCTGTCTCTGGCGTGATATCAGACCTGTCTCTGCAGCACATATCAAGAGGATAACATCAGCGGCATATGCCAGGCTGGCAAACATACGAACGGCATTCAGAAACTTGTGTAAAGAATCATTCAGAACTTTGTATACCACATATGTCAGGCCAATCCTGGAGTATGCAGCCCCAGCATGGAGTCCATATCTAGTCAAGGATAAGACTAAACTGGAAAAGGTTCAAAGGTTTGCTACCAGACTAGTACCCGAGCTGAGAGGTATGAGCAACGAGGAGAGACTACGGGAATTAAACCTCACTTCGCTGGAAGACAGAAGAGTTAGGGGGGACATGATCACCACATTCAAGATTCTGAAAGGAATTGATAGGGTAGATAAAGACAGGCTATTTAACACAAGGGGCACACGCACAAGGGGACACAGATGGAAACTGAGTGCCCAAATGAGCCACAGAGATATTAGAAAGAACTTTTTTAGTGTCAGAGTGGTTGACAAATGGAATGCATTAGGAAGTGATGTAGTGGAGGCTGACTCCATACACAGTTTCAAGTGTAGATATGATAGAGCCCAATAGGCTCAGGAATCTGTACACCTGTTGATTGACGGTTGAGAGGCTGGACCAAAGAGCCGAAGCTCAACTCCTGCAAGCACAACTTTATGTCAATATATGTACGATACCTGCTTGATGGGCTTCTGGGAGTTCTTCTACTCCCTCAAGCCCGGCCTGACTTGTGATAACTTGGTCCAACAGGCTGTTGCTTGGAGCGGCCCACAGGCCCACATATCCACTACAACCTGGTTGGTCTGGCACTTCTTGCAAGAAGTTATCTAAGTGCTTCTTGAATACATCCACCTTTGTTCCGGTAATATTTATAATGCTTGATGGGAGGGTGTTGAACAGCCGTGGACCCCTAATGTTTAGTGTTCTCTGATTGTGCCTATACCTGCTTGATGGGGTTCTGGGAGTTCTTCTACTCCCCAAGCCCGGCCTGAGTCCAGGCTTTCCTTTCCTAACAACGTACTGGAGTGAACGATATGGAAGAACATGCAGAATAGAACCAGTGAAGAGCAGGGGTGCCATAGGCACAATCAGAGAACACTGTATAAACATCAGAGGTCCGCGGTTGTTCAACATCCTCCCAGCGAGCATAAGAAATATTGCCGGAACAACCGTGGACATCTTCAAGAGGAAACTAGATTGTTTCCTCCAAGGAGTGCCGGACCAACCGGCTGTGGTGGGTATGTGGGCCTTCGGGCCGCTCCAAGCAACAGCCTGGTGGACCAAACTCTCACAAGTCAAGCCTGGCCTCGGGCCGGGCTTGAGGAGTAGAAGAACTCCCAGAACCCCATCAACCAGGTATTAACCAGGCGTGACAATATAACCAAACTATGGCACCTCTATTCTTCACTGGTTCTATTCTGCATTTCCTTTCCTATCTTTCGCTCCAGTATGTTGTTATTCTGCTGTGCAAATTTGGGACCTGACCCTCCAGTATCTTCCATGTTTATATTATTTAATATCTTTCTCGTTTCCTTTCCAAAGAGTACATTTTGAGAGCTTTGAAGGGAATGGAACTATCAGGAGAAAGCGCCGAGCCATCACGACTATATAGCCCTGGGAAGGGGTCAGGATAAGGATTTGGGATGAGACGGGGGTAAGGAATAGTACCCAACCACTTGGACGGTCGGGGATTGAACGCCGACCTGCATGCAGCGAGACCGTATCTCAACCGTCCAGCCCAAGCTTAAAGACGGTCCCAATAGTTTAGATGATTTATCGTTGTTGTTGTTGTTGTTGTTGTTTTGTTGTTTAAGATTCAGCTACTGGGAACAAAAAGTTCTGAGTAGCACAGGCTATGGTGAGCCCGTAGATGTTTTATCGTTTCACTAAAAAAAAATAGTTTTATGAGTACCGTATACGTTCCTTGTATTCCCTCTAATTCAGATATTTCTCCTTCTCTGAAAGGGGAAGCGAGAACCAAGCAGTACTCAAGACGGGACAGCACCAGAGATTTAAATAGTATTACCATTGCTGTGGGATCGCTGGATTTGAACGTTCTCATAATCCATCCTATTATGAGAACGATCAAATTCAAATAAAATTATATTTAATGAAGATACGTTCCAGCTCATGCGCTACTGAAAAAAATGAAAATATAAAAACCAAAATCACATACAAAGCTCAGTCAAATCATAACATAGAACGAAAAGGCAATGTAAAGGATCTGGGTTTACTGATCTCGGAAGACCTTACCTTCAAAGAACACAATCAAGTAGCCGTCACAACTGCAAGAAAAGTGACAGGTTGGATAACAAGAACCTTTCACACTAGAGATGTTATACCAATGATGACGCTAGTGCTCTCTAGAGTGGAATACTGCTAGGTACCTGCTTGATGGGGTTCTGGGAGTTCTTCTACTTCCCAAGACTTGTGAGAGCTCGGTCCACCAGGCTGTTGCTTGAAGCGCCACGCAGGCTCACATACCCACCACAGCCCAGTTGGGCCGGCAATCGTCGAAGAAAACAATCTAGTTTTCTCTTGAAGATGTCCACGGTTGTTCCGGCAATACTTCTTATACTCGCTGGCAGGACGTTGAACAACCGCGGACCTCTGATGTTTATACACAGTTCTCCGATTCTGGTAATCTGGTCGCTAAGCACTGTGGTTTATGGGTAATCTGGCCGCCAGTAACGATAAAGACAAATTTACACAGTACACAGTCAAGGACAATGAATATGAGAGAGAGAGAGAGAGAGAGACAGAGAGAGAGAGAGAGAGAGAGAGAGAGAGAGAGAGAGAGAGAGAGAGAGAGAGAGAGAGAGAGAGAGAGAGAGAGAGAGAGAGAGAGACAGACAGACAGAGAGAGAGAGAGAGAGAGAGAGAGAGAGAGAGAGAGAGAGAGAGAGAGAGAGAGAGTGGATTTGGTGTTCTTTGCGAGCGTGTATACTTCAAATAACAAACATATTTAACACCAAACAGGCGCCGACGCACTACTTCTTAGTTTCATTTGTTTGGGTTTAATAGTGGCAGGAGAGGAAGAGCAAGTGACCGGCTGAAACCTTAAATATAAAGCAGAATACTTGAGTAGAGAGATGTCTGCTTGCCGCTCAATAGCCAATCAGAGGGCGAACATAATGATGGCTGAATACTGCTCCAGCAGACATTTTCGTGCTCGCTCAAGCTGAAGTTTCCGGAAGATTGATCAATACTTGAAATTCAATGGATAGAACTCAACCACTTGGAGTGGTTGGTAGGGAGATGGCCTTGATTCTGGCGGGTCGGTGCTCGATCCCCGACAGTCGAGCACCATCGAGATCAGTTAAATGTAATTAAGTATAAATATCCCGTCGGTTAAAAGTTAAAAACACGGTGCCCCAACATGTGTGCTCGACTGCTCTGGTGCTCGACGGTGCTCGACCGTCGAACACCGTCGAGCACACACGTTGAGCTCCGTTGCTTCCGTCTGTCCATTGTCAGCTTCCTGTGATAATGTTGTAACCGTTGTGTTGAGCCCTGTAAGACGGCCTAAACCCCCCCTCTCCCCCAGGGAGGTGAGGTAGGGTCAACCCCTTGCCTTAATACCGGGGTTAAGAGGGCTGGAACAGTTGTGGAGGTGGCTTGGTTCGAGCCCTGTCAATTCAATTTCTTTCTTTATTATGCACCCCATACCTATCCCATGGGCGGTGGTGTAAAGGATTACAGAGGCACATAATCGGTTCAGGAACTGAACCCTCTAGTTCGTTTAGTTAAGCAAATAATTTTTTGACACTAGTTATAAAATTATTAATGTTATATATATACATATACACATTCTCATACATACATGTACATATATATATGTACGTATACATATATACATACACATACATATTTAATCACCCAACCAAATACACACGAGCCTGTCAGCTGGCCTAATCTTCCACTGTCATCCAGGAAAGCGAGGTAGGGGTCACGTATACCCCGCCTCTACAAGTTACGAAACCTGTAGAGGCGGGGTTGATAATGGTTGTAAACCAATAATGGTTGTAAACCATTGTTCCTAATTACAGTGTATGCTGTCCCGGGCCTGCCATTAGTGGGATGAAGTGATTCATCAGTGTAGATTTGCTCTTACTAATTCCCTGTCCCTTGTATTCTTCTCGCCAGATACTTATGCCTCATTTCTTGTGGTATTATCTTGGACGTTGTCGTTATCGTCTCTTATTGTCATCTTATCTGGCTTATCCTCCCAGGATACGGCCAGGACCAGACTCACAAGCTGAGTCTGGTAATGAAGACCAGACCACACACTAGAAGGTGAAGGGACGACGACGTTTCGGTCGGGTTTCCCACAATCGACTTGAGAATGGTCCAAGGACGGACCGAAACGTCGTCGTCCCTTCACCTTCTAGTGTGTGGTCTGGTCATCATACTTTAGCCACGTTATTGTGACTCATCGCCTGCACGAGTCTGGTGATGTCTCACCATCATGTGAGCTTGAGCAAACTCATGGGCTAGCGCAAGCAGGTGTTCTACAGGTTACGAAACCTGTACATCAATGGTTGGCGGGTTGATCCCTTGCCCAGAAGTTACCACCTTCTGGTCTGATGATCTAATGGACTGAGGAAGGACCCGCTGGTGTAAGATCGAGGAGAGTGGTTTAAGGCATTAGTTGATTCCGTAAGAAATGCGACGGATTAGGTGAGAGGACAGGTTGGCAGTGTGTTTCTGGCAAGTAACCCTGGGGTCACTTGCCTCATCCTCAATCATCTACCGAATACGTAGCATTTCTTACGGAAGGCGAAGCCCAATAATATTGACGTTTTCTATGCATCGGCCTCGATAGGTTGGGGGCTCCCAATTTAATTGAGGGGTCACTACCCCCCACACCCCAATTAAGTGTCCCCCCCCCCCCCACACTTAATTCACCAAGTGTGAATTAAAAGAATGAGATTATTAAAATAAAGTATTAGTTTTATATGACATTTAATTAAAGGTGATTTAAGACGCGTCAATTAATTGTGAAGGTGGTTATCTTGAAGTTATCTCGAGATAATTTCGGGGCTCAGCGTCCCCGCGGCCCGGTCCTCGACCAGGCATCCTTTTTGTCACACATCCCCAAGGAAGCAGCCCGTAGCAGCTGTCTAACTCCCAGGTACCTATTTACTGCTAGGTGAACAGGCGCATCAGGGTGAAACAAACTCGACCCATTTGTTTCCGCCTCCACCGAGGATCGAACTCGGAACCTCAGGACTGCCAATCCGATGCGCTGTCCACTCAGCTGTCAGGGCCCTGACAGCTGTCAGGCGAGCAACAATCCCACCATGTACGATGGTCATCTGACGGAACGTCAATATTGTGGTGCATTTATTTAATTAAACAACCGTAATTATGACGCAGAGTTCACAGCGTCGAAATTACGGAGTGTTAAGTGTGAGGACAGGTTGTGACAACACCGCCAGCAGAGGCAGGGAATTATCAGCAGAAAGCGCCAAGTCATTACGACTATACAGCACTGGGAAGGGGTCAGGATAAGGATTTGGGATGGGTCGGGGAGAAGGAATGGTTCCCCAACCACTTGTGGACGGTCGGGGATTGAACGCCGACCTGCATGAAGCGAGACCGTCGCTCTACCGTCCAGCCCAAGGTGGCCTAGTGATCTAAGACGTGGCAACACCCAGCACGTAGGTAGGTCCCGTCCTCTCACCCAATACGCCGCATTTGTTACGTACTCAACCACTCCCACAAAATACGACATTATTTTACAACACTAAAGCGCCGTAATACTGACGTTTTCTATCCATTGGTCTCGATAGGTTAGGGGGGTTGCCTGGGTTTGTACGTTTCTGGCTAGGCAAAACAGTTGTATTTTGTACGGAGTGGTGAATATTGTGTACGGACTCCACCTTACATATGTGAAGCACTTAACCCCGAGCAACACAACGGTGGGGGCCCCCACCAGTGAAGGAAGGGTCTACTGGGGGCCCTCACCAGGAGAAGAAGGGTCCGGTGCCCCCCCCCCTCGCCAGCTTATACAGAATCGGCATATATCAGTTTACATGGCGGCCATCTTGAACTCTGCGAGTCTGACCAAAAATAAGCTTGACAGGTAAGAGTTTCCTAATCAGCCGAATCAAATAACCCTACAAACATCCGTTGCCAGAAAGCTTGTAGAAAAACTCTCGAAACCATTCACAGGTACATCCCAGGCAGGAGGGGGAGGGAGGGGAAGTGGAGGAGGGAATGGGGGGAGGAGGGAGAGAGGGAGAGAGAAAGAAAGAGAGAGAGAGAGAGAGAGAGAGAGAGAGAGAGAGAGAGAGAGAGAGAGAGAGAGAGAGAGAGAGAGAGAGAGGAGAGAGAGAGAGAGAGAGAGACAGAGAGAGAGGGGGGGGAGGGGAGGGAGGGAGGGGCATCGCGTCCTGAGGAAGTGAACATCAATGTGCGGCACAACCGCCTCCGTGCACCAGACTAACATTTCACACAACACATCCTGGTTTAGTCACCCACATAAACGCCAGCACACGTCAACTGACCGGAGCTTCTACGTCGGCAGTCACCAGGGTTCAACCTGTCCTCCCACTTCAGGGGCCAGAATCACATTCATTCTTACGAGTAAGATTCACAAATATCCGATTCTTACGAAGCTGTATTTACAAAATCTGTCCTGTAACATAAGCCTCCAGCAATAGTTTCATTATTATAACTTGTAAGGACCTGCTTGATGGGGTTCTGGGAGCTGTTCTACCCCCCCCCCCCCCCAAGTCCAGGCTAGACTATCTTGAGGTTATCTTGAGATGATTTCGGGGCTTTTTAGTGTCCCCACGGCCCGGTCCTCGACCAGGCCTCCACCCCCAGGAAGCAACCCGTGACAGCTGACTAACACCCAGGTACCTATTTTACTGCTAGGTAACAGGGGCATAGGGTGAAAAAACTCTGCCCATTGTTTCTCGTCTGGGATCGAACCCAGGACCACAGGATCACAAGTCCAGCGTGCTGTCCGCTCGGCCGACCCGCTCCCCTAGACGCGGAATGAAAAAGAAAATTTCCCCCAAAAATGGCAACTTTAAAACCCTTCAAGAGTGACGGGAGACATCTCCGTCACGCAGGGCGCACCTCCACCGGGAGACATCTCCGTCACGCAGGGCGCACCTCCACCGGGAGACATCTCCGTCACGCAGGGCGCACCTCCACCGGGAGACATCTCCGTCACGCAGGCGCACCTCCACCGGGAGACATCTCCGTCACGCAGGGCGCACCTCCACCGGGAGACATCTCCGTCACGCAGGGCGCACCTCCACCGGGAGACATCTCCGTCACGCAGGGCGCACCTCCACCGGGAGACATCTCCGTCACGCAGGGCGCACCTCCACCGGGAGACATCTCCGTCACGCAGGGCGCACCTCCACCGGGAGACATCTCCGTCACGCAGGGCGCACCTCCACCGGGAGACATCTCCGTCACGCAGGGCGCACCTCCACCGGGAGACATCTCCGTCACGCAGGGCGCACCTCCACCGGAGACATCTCCGTCACGCAGGGCGCACCTCCACCGGGAGACATCTCCGTCACGCAGGGCGCACCTCCACCGGGAGACATCTCCCGTCACGCAGGGCGCACCTCCACCGGGAGACATCTCCCGTCACGCAGGGCGCAGTCGCACCTCCACCGGGAGACATCTCCCGTCACGCAGGGCGCAGTCGCACCTCCACCGGGAGACATCTCCCGTCACGCAGGGCGCAGTCGCACCTCCACCGGGAGACATCTCCCGTCACGCAGGGCGCAGTCGCACCTCCACCGGGAGACATCTCCCGTCACGCAGGGCGCAGTCGCACCTCCACCGGGAGACATCTCCCGTCACGCAGGGCGCAGTCGCACCTCCACCGGGAGACATCTCCCGTCACGCAGGGCGCAGTCGCACCTCCACCGGGAGACATCTCCGTCACGCAGGGCGCAGTCGCACCTCCACAGATCTCCAGTAGCATCTATTGATACTGGTGATGGCTCAAAAAGGCCACCACTTACGGGCTATTCATGCCCGTGCCACCTTTTGGGTGGCTTAATCTTCATCAATCAATCAACCCTTCAAGAGTATAAAGTCATTAACCGACATTTAAAACATTGAATTTAATCCGTAGAATTGTATTTAAAGTAATATTCCAAAAGAAAATATTACGTAAACCGTACAGTTGGTGACAAAATTATTGAGTGAGATTCATCGTTCTATTCGAAAACGGCAATTTGGAAATCTGTAATACAAAATAAAAATTTGCTCTTTCATAGTTATAAAGCTATGTACGAAGAACATATATATATATATATATATATATATATATATATATATATATATATATATATATTATTAAATATGACCGAAAAAGTAAGATTAATAATTCTAACACGAATTTTCTCAATCTTTCGTACATTACGCTTCACTGTTGGAGGTAAATCAAAAATCACTTCTCCAAAATTCATTTTTATTTCTAGTCTGACGCGACACGGGCGCGTTTCGTAAAACTTATTACATTTTCAAAGACTTCACAAATACACAACTGATTAGAACTTACGTCTCTCTGATATTATATCTACATTTGAGTGAGGTGGAAGGATGATGTGGCATTAACACAAGACAGAACAGGGGATATTAATAGGGTATTAAAAGTATCAACACAAGACAGAACAGAAAACAATGGGTATTGAATAGAAGTGTTTGTAGAAAGCCTATTGGTCCATATTTCTTGATGCTTCTATATTGGAGCGGAGTCTTGAGGTGGGTAGAATATAGTTGTGCAATAATTGGCTGTTGATTGCTGGTGTTGACTTCTTGATGTGTAGTGCCTCGCAAACGTCAAGCCGCCTGCTATCGCTGTATCTATCGATGATTTCTGTGTTGTTTAATCCTAGTAAACAACACAGAAATCATCGATAGATACAGCGATAGCAGGCGGCTTGACGTTTGCGAGGCACTACACATCAAGAAGTCAACACCAGCAATCAACAGCCAATTATTGCACAACTATATTCTACCCACCTCAAGACTCCGCTCCAATATAGAAGCATCAAGAAATATGGACCAATAGGCTTTCTACAAACACTTCTATTCAATACCCATTGTTTTCTGTTCTGTCTTGTGTTGATACTTTTAATACCCTATTAATATCCCCTGTTCTGTCTTGTGTTAATGCCACATCATCCTTCCCACCTCACTCAAATGTAGATATAATATCAGAGAGACGTAAGTTCTAATCAGTTGTGTATTTGTGAAGTCTTTGAAAATGTAATAAGTTTTACGAAACGCGCCCGTGTCGCGTCAGACTAGAAATAAAAATGAATTTTGGAGAAGTGATTTTTGATTTACCTCCAACAGTGAAGCGTAATGTACGAAAGATTGAGAAAATTCGTGTTAGAATTATTAATCTTACTTTTTCGGTCATATTTAATAATATATGTCTACAGGAAAGACTGCTACCAAAATATACTAATATATATATATATATATATATATATATATATATATATATATATATATATATATATATATATATGTAAACTTTATGAAACTGACTTCATAATTAACAAAACTCAGAATTTTTTTAAGACAATCTAGAATTTTTACCATCTAGCAAAACTTTTCATGGATCATGCCACCAGCAGACGGGGAGGATAGTTCTCAACTTCCCCGTCACGTGATTATTGCTGGTGCGACCTCCGAAAACACTGTGATCAATTATGGACCCAAAAAAAAATAATTATAGGTATACTGCTCATTGTATATCATTAAATAGCATTAAAATAACATTTGAATAACATTACAAAAGTGTCCCCGTGGTGTAGTGGTAAGACACTCGCCAGGATTTTCACAAGCGCTTTGCCCTGGGTTCGTATCCTGGCCGGGGAGGATTTACTGCTCGTCAATCCTTAATTGTAGCCTGTGTTTACGCAACAGTAAAATGGGTACCTCATTGTTAAACGATTTGGCGGGTCGTATTCCGGGAACATAGGATTAAGGACCTGCCCAAAACGCAGAAGCTCCCCTATGACTATCTCCATTGGTCAAACTATTATGTATTAGCGATAAGACCTACCATTAATGTATGATGACTTACGGTAAATGTATAGCTCTTGAAATAGCACTTTCTCTGTAACTAGCTGACACTGTAACTATAAGGTGTGAAGGATAGATGAAATTGTTTATGTAATAATCTAAGATGATTGATTTTTCAATTACCATCGACAGTGAAAAGAAACATAAGAAAGATCGAGAAAATTCGTGTTAGAATTATTAATCTTACTTTTTCGGTCATATTTAATAATATATGTCTACAGGAAAGACTACTACCAAAATATACTAATATATTATATATATATATATATATATATATATATATATATATATATATATATATATATATATATATATATATATGTGTATATATGTATATATATGTATATATATATATATATATAATAAATATATATATATATATATATATATATATATATATATATATATTATATATATATATATATACTAGTGTATTTTGATAGCTGTCTTTCTTGTAAACATATGATGTTGAATGTGACAGAAAGTGTAAGAGTAGTGATTCTAACACGAATCTTTTCGATATTGCTTACGTTTTTCTTCACTGTCGATGGTATTTGTAAAATTAACTCTCCAAAGTTCATTTTTACACCTACCTTACCTTGAGGTTACCTTGAGGTGCTTCCGGGGCTTAGTGTCCCCGCGGCCCGGTCGTCGACCAGGCCTCCTGGTTGCTGAGTTTCACCTCCAATTAAATTATTTTACAAATCAACAATACACAGTGAACATAAAAAAGAAGAGCCATGCCTCACCTCGGGTAGACTAGCCATGCCTCACCTCGGGTCGACTAGCCATGCCTCACCTCGGGTAGACTAGCCATGCCTCACCTCGGGTCGACTAGCCATGCCTCACCTCGGGTCGACTAGCCATGCCTCACCTCGGGTAGACTAGCCATGCCTCACCTCGGTCGACTAGCCATGCCTCACCTCGGGTCGACTAGCCATGCCTCACCTCGGGTCGACTAGCCATGCCTCACCTCGGTCGACTAGCCATGCCTCACCTCGGGTCGACTAGCCATGCCTCACCTCGGGTCGACTAGCCATGCCTCACCTCGGGTCGACTAGCCATGCCTCACCTCGGGTCGACTAGCCATGCCTCACCTCGGGTCGACTAGCCATGCCTCACCTCGGGTCGACTAGCCATGCCTCATCTCAGGTCGACTAGCCATGCCTCACCTCGGGTCAACTAGCCATGCCTCATCTCAGGTCGACTAGCCATGCCTCACCTCGGGTCGACTAGCCATGCCTCACCTCTGGTCGACTAGCCATGCCTCACCTCGGGTCGACTAGCCATGCCTCATCTCAGGTCGACTAGCCATGCCTCACCTCGGGTCGACTAGCCATGCCTCACCTCTGGTCGACTAGCCATGCCTCACCTCGGGTCGACTAGCCATGCCTCACCTCTGGTCGACTAGCCATGCCTCACCTCGGGTCGACTAGCCATGCCTCACCTCGGGTCGACTAGCCATGCCTCATCTCGGGTCGACTAGCCATGCCTCACCTCGGGTCGACTAGCCATGCCTCATCTCAGGTCGACTAGCCATGCCTCACCTCTGGTCGACTAGCCATGCCTCACCTCGGGTCGACTAGCCATGCCTCACCTCGGGTCGACTAGCCATGCCTCATCTCAGGTCGACTAGCCATGCCTCACCTCGGGTCGACTAGCCATCCCTCACCTCGGGTCGACTAGCCATGTCTCATCTCAGGTCGACTAGCCATGCCTCACCTCGGGTCGACTAGCCATGCCTCACCTCGGGGCGACTAGCCATGCCTCACCTCTGGTCGACTAGCCCTGCCTCACCTCGGGGCGACTAGCCATGCCTCACCTCAGGTCGACTAGCCCTGCCTCACCTCGGGGCGACTAGCCATGCCTCACCTCTGGTCGACTAGCCCTGCCTCACCTCGGGGCGACTAGCCATGCCTCACCTCTGGTCGACTAGCCCTGCCTCACCTCGGGTCGACTAGCCATCCCTCACCTCGGGTCGACTAGCCATGCCTCATCTCAGGTCGACTAGCCATGCCTCACCTCGGGTCGACTAGCCATGCCTCACCTCTGGTCGACTAGCCATGCCTCACCTCGGGTCGACTAGCCATGCCTCACCTC